AGTGCCGCCAGCGCTGCGCTCCGCGCACTTCCCAGAAGCCGGGGGCGGCGCACAGCCTGGGGCTCGGGTTTTGAACGGCACAATTTCAAACGTTTCAAGTTCATGCCGTCCGTTCGCACGCTTCCAGCGAAAAGCGCCTCGCTAAGCCTCGTAAGCTCCGGCAGCGCCACATTCCCCGTGTGAAGCTGTTTAGGGTACGACCCGGTGCCTGACCCGACGGCCGCCCGACCACGCGGCCGCGGGTGGGGCGAGGGCGGAAGCCGGCCCGCCACGCGCCCCACCGGCCGCCGCGTCAGGAATGCCGCCTCCACCGCTTGCGCTCTCACGGTTTCAGTTCGGCTTCTCAGAACGGCAGTCGCACCTTGTTCGGAGAAGCGTCACGCGCCGCATGAGCCGAGTCAGGGTCAGCCGGACCACAGCGACATCCGTCGCGCACAGGCGACGACGACGCACCTATGGCGCCAGAGCACAGTGCTGCACGGCACGAACTTGGAGACAGGAGGTCGGCACATTGATCTGCTCATTCATTGAGAAGGCTGTTCGATATCCAGGGATGTAGGCACTTGTGAACTGCATGATACACATTACCTGACTGATAACATGCCGTTTGGAGCGAAATGCTTTGGGAATGCCATACAGTAGGTATAAAAGCAGAGCCTTTCACGAATTGGGGAAATCCAAGGATTTGCGATTAACCTGTGGATTGGACTGCACTGAGGACGCTCCCCAAGACTACCTGAATGAAGCCCCAAATTAAAGTACAGACTTAGCTCCACGAGCAGGAAAAGGGAAGCCAGGGAACCCGCGTGGAATTGTGCTCCAAATGCCAAGCCTGCGTGCGGGGCACGCCAAACACAAGCAAAGGACGTCGTTGTGCTTTTAAGTTTTGATAGGCAGTGCCACAGGGGGATGTAACACGGCAGCCCTGAAGCCAAAGCAGGAGCCAGGAAAGGGTCAAGGGTTTGCATTTTATGTCCAGCCCATGTTGACCTGGGGATGTTCATTCTTTTTTAGAATTTATCGGCCCAAAATGTATCCAATAGTTTTGAGCATGCTCGCTCGCAGCCTCGGAGAAGGCACACTGACGCCCGGCGATGTAGGTTCCATGGGCCGCGGGGCATCGGCCCACGCAGTAACATCCAGCGACGGGCGACTAGCAGGCAAGGCTTACGTACTTTATAACGCTTAATCTACTAACTTAATCTACAGGTGTAAAAGGTAGTCCGGGCTGTGTATTTCACCAGCACGATTTGCAAATTGATACTCGAAACGGATTAGCACGAGCAACACGAGCCGTTGACGCATTGGTGCGGTCCCTGTTGCTCGTGTTGCTTTAATTGATAATCCGTTAATAGAGTCAACCTTCAAACTGCACGAGGAACATTTCCTGGTCAGGAGCTGAAAGGCCCTTCCCTATGAGTCCGGGGTCCCCACCGGTTGACATTCCGGCAAAACACGGACCGGGGCCCTCTGGTCGATCCAGAGACCCTCAGTGACACACACACATACACTGGTTCCCTCCTTGAGTCACAGGCCCTCTAACCGGATCGTCTGGCACAATATCAACGCAGGGGCCTTCACTGACATGAACAGATCCTTTACTGGCCCAGTGAGTCCAATAATTGGCACATGGACCACTATCCGGCTTATCAGCCATGATTGAAGCGGGCCGGACAGCGCATCGTTTGATACTGGGGCCTCTGACTGAGCCTGGCTCACTGTCTGACTGACACACCGTCTCACGTGAATGTAAACACTTGCATCGTCATTTCTCATATCTCCTGTCATTATCAAGAAGGCCCGACCAACGCAAGAGGCGCTTCGACATTCGGTATCATTCGGAGTCTGATGGTATCGCCGTTGTAGTTTGGTTGTTCGTGAAAATATAAATTTGGAACCCATTTGTTGTGCCTCTAGAATTTTTTGCCTCGTGAAATAAAAGCTTTGGGGTCATTCGTGTTACCCGGGGAATGTATTGCCTCTTGCAAATCAGGACATTGTGCCTTCTGTGGTGCTCATGGACTTCGATTTCTCTCAAAACTGAAAATCAAGACGACACAAAATGAAAATTTTTAGTACCCCTCGCCGAGAGGAGACGGTCACGGATTTCGTCAGTGTTAAAGGCACAGAAATTGTGTTACTCCTGAATTTTGATTCGTTTGAAATGGCATGCCTGAGCCTGTAAAAATGTCTCTCTCGGATGTGGTACAGGTCATATATAGTCCACTACGCTGCTTATTTGCACCCTCTGGTACAGGTTATGGTGGCCCAAAATAAAGGTTTTGGTGCCCCTCACCAAATGAGCCAATCCAAGATTTCGTCGATGCGGAGGCATGGGCGCTGCGGCGCTTTTGAAACGTCATGCCTTTCAAAAATCAAGGCTTTATGGCCCCCTGAGGTGTCCTGGATTTTTCCCCTCTAAAAACAAGTTTACAGGACCATGGTGTAAAAGTTGTCTGTATCATTTCATGGAAGAGGACGATCCAGATTTTTGCCAGGGTGGGGCATACAAATGTGATGCTCCTGACATTTGATGCTTCTTGACAATGAAAATTTGGGAGTTGGGACCCTTTTGATAACCCTTTAGATTTGGGTCACTTAAAATAAATGTGTTGGTCCAGAATGAAGGTTTTGCACCTATATAGGAGCAGTGTCCCTATTTGAGGCATAGGCTAGAGGCACCGACATTGTGCATGATGTCAATAAGCCCACTTGGATATGATGTTAGCCATGGAACATTGTGCCACAATTTGTTGCATTACGTCAACATTAGTGGCATCCATATCTCCAAGGTCTTTTCAGCTTTGTATTTTTATGCTGACAATGGCATCACCTTGCCAGATGGCCCAGTTGTTTATTTCAGTTTCTGCATGTATGCATACCTAGTTACATAGTATGTGTTCGGCAAAGGTGGCATGCTCAATAAATTGGGAGGCTCTGTGTAGCTGTAAGCCAGAGGTGGCAAAAGGACACAACATATTTTCAAATGGCATGATCATTGTCAATGGCCAGCTTCACTTAAAAATTGGTGTGGCTACTGCTATATCAACCACAGCCCAATTACCAACAACAGATGAATTGTGTTTTAGAATGATCTATTGACCTAAAAAGGATTTGTCATGCCGTGTTAGTAACAATGAGCATGGGTTCTCCGTATTTTTTCTTTAATTAAGTCAATTACCCAAATGTTGTATTAAACAATGTTATGCATTTATCACTTGTGTTGCATTTGGCACACATTTTCTGAGTGCCTTGAATAGTACATTTCATTTCATCACTCAAGGCATGTTGGCATGGCTTCTTACATAACACAGAGGGATTTCATATAGTGTACAATTAATCCATTTTAAAGAAAACAAGTTAAAAATAGTGATGGTTCTCCAAACCATAACAGAAAACAGCCGACATAGCTGCTTGCAATTACCTAATTTGTATGCAACTTCTCATACAGCTGCACACAAACACTACAATCATCAATCCTGCATTTTGTTCCAAGCCATAAAGATGTGCAGCAACATATCATTCATTGGCATGGTACTGTGCATGCCCATCAATCTACAGAATAGTCCAATTCAATCACATCCATTGTTTCTCTTCCCCATTACCCTGCTGATCTGAACTGGCACTTCCTAAGCACAGCTTCTTCCATATTATAAATATCCCTTCTTGCCCCAATGCCAACTGAACTCAGTTGATAAGATGAAGTGGGAGAATGAAAGCCATTTAGAATGATGCTTGCCATACCAAGAGCAAATGGGGTTGGTTTCAACAAAAATGCTCCTGTGTTAAATGTGTAGTAAGACGTGGTGTAACCCGGCCCTTTTGACTTTTCCATCATTCATTTGGTTTTGTCCCACAATGTATTGTTAGTGTAAAGCTCTAAACCATAACAAGGGTGAGCATTCTGTCCGGAGCATTCTGTCCGTTGCAGGTATACTGTAAAAAATAGGTGTAGCTAAGCTCCCAGAGCAAGAACCTGTCTAGTAGAAAATAATTATATAATGTCATTTAGGAAAAGTTGATGCAGCTGCTGCCAAACCTGCCAAATCACATTCTGCACCAACAGCACATTACACAATAGCCAAAAACAACATGAGGCTGCAAGTGTTACTGATAGTTTGAACCTACTAGGGCTAAACAATGCATTGCACTATATGATGCAATGAAAAGTTTGTTAATGTGGATTCAAGTTTCGCACTCCAAGAAAAGTTATGGTTGTAAGGATTATGACCATCAAAGGCAACTTGGTGCTCTACAATGACTTCTGGATTTGTTGCTAAATCTGCCTATGCTGGAATGCAACATGTTGCCTCTTGGCCCTATCAACCTGAAATGTGTCATTTTTCCAAGCACAAAAAAGCAGACACCAACTCCAAGTAGGATTTTCCTTAATAATTGAGTAACTAATGAATTTCCAAGCATCACCATCCAGAAAAATGGTAACAGAAAAAGCAGCAGTTACGACTCAACAGAGAAAATGACAGCTGAAAAACTCAAATGGGACCATCACAAGTTATTACTTTGGCACATATCTCATTGCTTGAGCCATACAGCTATATGGCTATGGATATATAAATATTGATCTAATACTGACATCCTCATAACCAATGTATTACTCTTCTGATGTGTCTTCAAATGACCAGATCTTTCAACTCAAAATGTGATGTGCAAGGGAACAAGCAGAAAAATAAAGGACATCTAAATCTGGCAAGCAGAACTTTCTAGAAAACTGTATCACTGTAGAAGACCAATTTGTACGATTTTGATATGGTCAAGTCAATTATTGAACAGATTTTGAGCTTGTACTATGTACATATCATCATGCTTGGAAGTCATTGCTTTCATCAAAAGTTGATGAGGCTATCTAGGTCTGCAAGCAGGCAACTAATACAGGGGCATCTATTTCTCATGTGCACAGTTGGATGCTGTAAAGCCATTAGAATATCATATAAACATATCCGCCACAGATCACAGGCATCTGCACACGTCCAGCTACTTACTTTTATGCTCCCCAACTGATCCGATGACTACACTGCCTGGTCTGGATCTTTTATGTCGATCAAGCCTCGCAGAACTTGGGCCAGCTGCAGCCCCATCCACCCCTGCATCACTGACACTGCCACTCACACACATCAAGAACACAATGCCCCACATTATAATCCATGTCCTGGAAAATAAACGCCATGGCCGATGTCCACTTCTTGACATGACAGTCATGGAGCCATGCTCATGCTGTCTCAGCTCAAGCAGTCCAAATTCAGCAGGGTCACGCCACCCTAATGCCGGGTACACAACAGGCTGGGGATTACCACCCATCACTGCACTCCGTCACCAGCTTCGTTCGTTGATGGTGCAAGTTTCACCTCACTTTCCATGTATGTAGTATTGCGTTCGTACCATTCACCACGTAGTAGTGTTGTCCCATCAACTACGCTGCACCTGGCACTCGCCCGCCTCCTGCATCTGACCTCTTTCCTGCTCCGCACCGGCGGCGGCAGTGTCCGTCAGGCGCTAGGCCGAAGCGAGGATCAGCGTCTCGCCAGAGCACCACTGCACTCGAGCCTCCCACACGGACACCACGGCTACAGCGTACGCTCTACCTGTCCGCCACCGTCGCGCCGCCGCTCCTCACACCCGCTGCCGCAGCGGACGTGCTCCGCTCAGTCAGACAGCGCCACCGCGCACACCGCATTCCACCGTAGCCGGACGCGTGACGCAGCGGGCCCGAGCGCGGCCAGTCTACCGGTCCCCGCCGATCGGTGATCAGCCAGCTACTCCCGTGACGCCACAGCGCCGACGAAAGCACCACGTGTGTCTCCGGCCGCCGGCCAGGGCCCCCACCGGCGCTCATTTTCCGGCCGCCCGCGCCGGCCCCCACATCTGGGGCCCCGCGCCCTCGGGTCTGCGCGGGGAGAGCGGCGCAGACAGGTGCGTCCGAGGAGAGACGCAAGTATCAGCCTGTATTTAGTACGTTGGCTGACCTGGATCATTGGTGTTTGTGGGTAATGGCCAGACATGGCGGCGCGATGGACAGATAGCTCGAGACGCTCGGTTATCATGAAATACGGCGTTCGGACATTGCCGTGAGTGAACAACACCAAATGACCACCAATTTTCGCAGGAGCGTGCGCACATATGATCCCTGGTGGCTCAAGCTTCCATCCCACCGCCTGGAAGTAATTACGTATTAAAATGCGAGGGTATGCGTGTTGAATGTCGATGCTGAAAAGTTGTAACACTCAAAAATAAGCAGATCGAAAACGCACTAGGTTGTCTCATGCCATGCACAAAGTTTCGCGCGCTTGAGACGCGTCAAACTGAGTTTCCAAGGAAAGGCTTAGTTTTGCCCGATGTCTCGGGATGTCTGGAGGCTCTTTATGTTGTGTGCTTTGACAAGAACAGGGATCAATCCATTAAGTGCCAGGTATCAACCGGTGCCTTAAAAAAAGAGTAGTCTGAGAAGCACGGACCCAGGGGCACAGGAATTATGTTCAAGTTTGGGGCAAGCTAAATGATGTCAATAATGGACCTCAGGTTAGAAAGTGTCCCCTTACCAGCTTGAATCGGCCTTGTAAGTCAATACTGAGTCCTTTAAGTCAATAATGGGACCTCTACATGGGTCACGATGGGCTCTTGAGCCCTCGACAGGTCAGAATAGCCATACTGGCTTACATAATCTCTTTCGAGTTTAAAATCGGCCCTTAACGTAGCAGAATGCACTCATCACAGGCTCTCCAGGTGTGTGTGTGTGTGTGTGTGTGTGTGTGTGTGTGTGTGTGTGTGTGTGCGTGCGTGCGTGCGTGCGTGCGTGCGCGCGCGTGCGTGTGTGTATGTGCGCGCGCGCGGGTTGGGGGAGGGGGTACTATCCCCTCCTACTTTTAAGCTTGGAGGGGGCGAGCTTCCCCCGTCCCCACGTCCTTGCATAAATCTCTTTTAGTGTTACTCTAAGCCATATGTCGGGCTCATTTTGCAGGGCCGTTCCTACTCATGCGGTTTGATAACCCATTTCCATACGGATTGATAACCAGTTCTCGAGAGGCCATCTCTCTGTTGTTACTCCGCGAGCCAGTTTCAGTCTAGCTGCGCATATCTAAAAAGATTTGCATTTAGGGCAAAACGCTCATGCCAGGAAGAAATGGACTACCACATGGCAGGATGTCATGGGAAAACCATAGGGGTGCAGTGGTTATGGAAAAAAGGAGCAAGTTGTCATATCTGTCTCGGCATGGCACCTGAAAGTGGGTGATTTTTTGTCGGTCGCAAACGTGCAACGAACGTGTCTGTTACGCAAAAATATTTTGGAACCAAGGAACGCTCCAGTTGATATTGATCACCAGCTGAGATGAAAACAGCTTCCATAAACAAAAGTTATTCCGATGTCTCTTCTCATGCGGCCCAGATCTCCGCACATTACCATATGTCAAGAGACCCATCATCGAACTCGCTATTCATTTTGTTTACGCAAACCCCTCGAGGCTGGAGGCAAGTCTGGTTTTTGCTGGATTTATTATTCAAACCCAGTATGGTCAACGGATTCACGCATTTCTCAAATGTGAATGACCTGTCAGATTCGAAGTCAGTAACTTAGCAGTAACCTCGTATGGCTTATGAAATGGCAGGGTTTGAATGACGGTATTATGACATCATGAATGCCAAGGTGACTTTGAAATACTCTCGCCGAAATACTCCCCCATTTTCGCAGGCGAATAGCTCAGAAATTAGGGGGGCTCAGGTCTTAGAAGGGCAGGGACGTGAACTGCACCAGAATATCCTCAGGATGGCTACTTCAGTTCAAACCCCCATGTAAATGTGAAACACTCCTTTTGAATTTGAAACCATTGGGTTACACACGTGTAACTTTCAGCGTCGTGTCGACGTAGCCCACACAAAACAGACAGAGCGAGGACGAGCCGAAATACCGTGCATGTGTAATAAGACAAATAGTAATGCTCTAGGTCACGCATTACGTTCGATAAAAGGCCATGAAGGAAAAACTCGCGAATATGAGTTCGGGACAACACGTGAAAATCTCAGACAGTATTGGATTGTGTTCGACGCCTCTAAGCACTGCTCTTGGTGTTACTGAACGGTGGTTTTCTTGGACCTCGTGGAGTCTTGCAGCACATTAAGCCACTTGGCCTACAGACATTTGTTATGTCAGGACAATCTTATCCCTATTTTTGTTGGCACCAGTCTGTATATTTCACAATTAGAACGACCAGTGCGTAACCACGCGAATCAAGTTGCTGTAAGACAATCCGCCGCAACAACATTCCGCATTGATTGAGAACCATGCTAAATGCGTGCATCGTGAAACTATATGCATGTGTGTATTCGTGCGGACCTATGGAACGAAATCCATGGCCGAAGGAGTTTTGTCGAGAATGAGATATATTCACAAATCGTGCCTGTGGGATAGATTAATACGACACAGTACCGTTCTGCGATCATTTTATGGGCGAAAAGTGTATGAGGCGACGAACGCTTAAATTGGCTCAACCAGGGCCCATTGCAGCGATTGTGGCACTCTAGTTCCTTGGTGAAGATAATGCATTTTGGTGTCCATGCACAAATGCAGGAAACATGCCATTAACCCTAATAAAACGTGAGCGAACACGTGTGTTCCAAACGTAACTCGTAAATTGTATGTTTTTCACTGGCGTGTCACGTATTGCATGTCCCGTGCATGCCTTTCGGGTGAGTCAACAGTTTCGGGAGAGTCAAAAAACCACTCTCACTGATTGTCTATGTGCAATGTTTTTGTCTCACGTCATCCAAAATGTTTTGAGAAAAACGCGTTCGTTATGTCTGGATCAGTCTAGGGATGAAACAAGAACGATGCAAAATTGTCACCCTAAAAATATATGTCCAGCCTTGAGGACGGCAATATTGAAATATTTCTTTCTCCAGAGCAATTAACGCTGTCGTCCTAAAATCTGATAAGCTGTTAGATATGCAGAGCAATGGAACTGCTGGTGCTTCGTCATTTTTGTGTTTGTTTAATTTACTTCCCTCTACTGCTATGGCCTAAATGCAAATCATGAGGCGCCCCGTACCTTCTGTACAGAACAGGGTATTCACCAGCTCTCACCACCAGTCAGCACCACTAAAGATCCGCCACACAGGTATTGCCCATTGGCTTCTCACACCACCATTCAAACACAAGGCATTTCGCAACTATTGTTGCGAAATGCAAACAATAATACGTGCAGGGGAAACGCATGGTGAGAAGGATGACATATGCATGAGTGGGCAACGTTTTAACTTTATTCCGCCAGTTAGGCCGAACGCTGAGTTTGTTTATTGAAAACACTGATCTATTGTCACACAGCTTGCAGTCGGAAGTGGCACAATTGTTAAAGTTTTGCTGTGATATATTCAATTTGTTTTCGCGCAAGCTGTTGGATTGCCTTCACATCATTTCATTTTCCAAGAACATACATGTACTGATAAAATACTGCATCCACGGGTGTCGAGTTGTGTTCTTTTGGGTGGGCTACTGCCCCGTTCCAATGTCCAATTTGCCCCCTCCCCCCCCCCCCAACGGCGAGTTTGGCCCCCAACTTTCTGGAGGTCAAGTGCACGAAGGACATTACGAATGGAAGCTAAAATTGTATCAAATTTAAGAATGCTTCTATTAATTGTATCACGGGCAAAAGGAGCAAAGAAAATTAAAAAAACTGTGATAGCGTATCAAGTTAGTGCACCTGACTGAGCTAACCACACTTTTAAAACTCCGCGGTCGTACCCTGTTGACTTGAGTTTTGTTTTTTTCTGCATGCTGCATGTGTATATCTACGCGATTTATGTCTAGGGTTGACTGTGGTTTAGGTTTTTGCTATTCTGAGAGTGTTTTGGTATTATTAAGTGATGTTTCAAGTCATACAGACCGCAGCAAGTTGCGTTATTTCGTTACGTCTTTTCGGAACATGAAAAACAAAGCGGTGAAGCATTTGCACTCAAAGAAGTGGTCAAGTTTTTAGCCGTCTGCATTCGCAGGAACCCCTAAAATGTGTCAACCTTCGCTTTAACATGATGCGCCTGCACCCTGCCTTGCGGCAATCAGCTGGGATTTAGCATGACAGACATTATTAGTGTCGCGGAAATCAGCTTACAATCTTTGTTCCCCGAGGGCACACGTCCAAAAACGTCTGAAGCCGTATAACATCGACCCTACGTTGATTACCGATACCCGGTTTCGACGAGCGAGGCCAAGAGACGTTGAAATCTGATTGGGTTAAATTTGGGAAGTACCTTTTTTAGTGTTTTTAGTGTTAGGTTTTTTACACACTCGGCCTCACCAATCCTATTCTGCTAAGCCACATTTCTATAGTCGAGTCCTAACGACCGTCACACGTTATTTTTAAATTACTTGCGAAAGATTGCGAAAGAAAGAAAGAAAGACATGCAAAAGATTCTTCACCAGATTATACTTCAGGGTCAGATCTTAGACATAGGCACACTTCTTAAGCGGGGACCGGGCTGGGACTCGCAATTTACATCGGCCAGGGCCATTAAGTCAATGAGTGGCCAGGGGAGGCCACTTGGTTAGGGGAGGTGCCTAACAAGTGTTTGATATTGAGATAAGGAGCCCAGACTCGGCCAGAGACAGTGTTCGAGGCGCCCGCAGAGGGGCCGAAGAGACCCTCGGGACCGACGATCAAATGCCCAATTGGAAGGCACAACGACAGGGACGGGTCATCAAATGTCCGTCAAAGGGCTTCTTTCACATATTGGGGACAAGTGACATTGGGGACCT